GTCATTGTGCGCAGCTTCTGCTGGCCGCCAGCGTCCCAGAGCAAGCCTTCAAGGAGACACCGGAGCCCTTCTTGAACGAAAGGGCGCCCATGAGTTTTGACCCCATGGGTAGTGCAGGCCGAAGCAATATATCAAAAACCTGGGGACGTGCCACACGTGTTTCTTTTCTCCAGCGGTGATGCTATGAGCCTGCTGGTTGTCTGGGAGGCGCATTTGGTTCTTGCTTTGGGGCTTGCCCCCTGGTCGAAGTTGAAGCCAAACGGAAACCGTTTGGCCATTTTAGGGTCCGTTAGTTCGACCACACGTGCGCAACTCTGAGTAGTCTTGACTTCCATGGCTCTGGTTAAACCATGGGTGTGTCATGTCACGAGGCTGTCAAGATTTGGGTCACGTAAACTCAAGCTAATGAGGGTTCTTCTGTGTGAGACAGTCCATATGAGCGCGTTCTTTGTTGAAGCTCCCCTTCTTTGGTGGCAAAAGAAGTTATCAGTGCAACCGCCCAAGTTCTTTCCCTTGTTTTGGGGGGTTGGGGGGGTTGTCCCTACAAAAGCTAAAACAGGTGACACACACACACACACAACCATCTTTGACTCTGCGCATTCGATGGCTTCGTTCTTTTGTTCAGGTGCTGCCGCGACAGGGCCGGCAGGGGCAACGCTTGGCATCCACAGACGTCGACGTCTACAGCGGCATGGCGCGGCGGAACGAACCCGATCTCGGCTCTGGGTCTTGGCAAGCGACCCCCAAAGTTAGATGATAGGAAAGCGAAGGGTATAGAGATAGAAATATCATAGAACTACTTGATTAGCATGTAGGACGAACATAATCATTCGCTACAATTCATCTCTTTGTCTTACATATGAATCTCAAATTATTAGTTACATTCTGGATTTGGGATAAAGCATTCTTAGACGGACAAGTCGTAGATGGGTCAGTACATCATAGAAAGGAGAAGGGACATGAGAGTGAATACGTGGGAAAGAGTGTTGCAGGTTGGTGGTTTGGATTGGTTTGGGATTTGAACCCCGGTTCCTGTTGAACCTGGGGAGAAAAATCGCCCCTAGACGTGAGTTCTGAGCGGCACGGAGGCTTCAACACCATGGGTTTGCGTCTTTCTCGGAGGTTCCCTTGCAGGTTGGCTCTGCATGAGCTCAAAGGAGCGCCACATTTGGGGGGTCCCTCTGTTTTGACACGCACGCGCACTCAACTTGTTTTTTTTTTTAAATTTGTGTCTGCAAATCATGCCCAAGGAATCTGCGGAAAGGAGGTTGACTTTCACGCCAGGAGTGGTTTGACCAGCTGAGCCGCAGCAAGGAATTCCGCCGCGGGCTCGGTGTGATCCCTTGTCGCCGTGTGTTACAGGCGGTCTGGTTGAAAGTTGACTGCCCATACCTGTGCATGCCCTGAGCCCTTCATGAATGCTACACGGTTGCTGTTTTCTCCACCAATCTGCAGCTCAAGCCTCCCCGTGGCAATGCTGCCGTGTGATACCGGGCTGTCGGATGATGCCTTTTATGGCAGCATTTGGGTCGCCAGTTGGAAGGTATTGACACGGTGTGAAGGGGAGGTGCTGCGCGGTGGGCGCATTGCAGGTGCTTAAAGTCTTTATCCCCTGCGCTAGCCGGCGCCACTGCAGCCCCAGAAATGGGGCGGGTGGTTTCCATATCGATTTCTACTGCGCATTTGCCCTTTAGAGCCAGGAAATGCAGTATCAAGGTTGGAGCGGAACAGTGGACTGCAACCTCAAATGACGCTTAGTTTCTTTTGGTCATGCGCGCAACAAGTTTTTTGCGGCAATTTCATGTGCCATTGCGCTATGGCTCATTCAGCAGTTGCGGTGAATTGGAGTGTGATCACGCAAAACGCCTCGTGGATCTGTGACGGGGCCACACAGTCGTCACGAAACGCCAGATTGGTTGTTGAATGAATGGCCTCACCTGGAACACTTACCTACTGCGAGCAGCATGTGAGAGCCCTTGCGTTGGTGGAGGAACTGCTTGGCTGAGATCGCGGAAGCGCTGTCAAAGTCAAAATATGACGCATTGCGTGACTGCGTTCCCCAGCCGCTCTTCTCGGCCCAGCGAGGGCGAGTTGCCGAGACTACCGTCGCGCGATGGTTTCTGCGGCCCATGATATACTCTGATGCTTTTTGGGTCGCTACCAACCTTAGGGCGGTGCTGCGTGTTAGTTGAGTCAGGTTTCTGCGTCTCATCCAAATTGTGCAGGAACATGTCACGGGTGTCCGGCCACGGGTCCAGATTGGCAGCGTCAATGTCTCGGGGCCGGCGCGCCTGAGGATTGGCTCGCAACCAACCCGCAGAAAGTTGGTTTCCATTTGAAGCCCCGGACAAAATCAGGAAGTGAAATGAATGAGATTTGGGATTGCAAGAGGCGTGGCTAGAATGAATAGAGGAATAGAGCCTTGCCCACCATCAGTCATCACAGCTGCTATCTTGGGAAGGTGGCTTGTCTTCCATATTTGGCCCAAGACTGCCAGTAAACCAAGCACTTTCACTTTCGTGGCTAATTTTGACATCACCGCCAATCACTTCAACAATCCGGTGAGGCAGCGAATGTTTTTCCCTGTCATCTCAAACGTGACGTGCAGCAGTCGCGGGTTTTGCCCACACAAAGCTTGCAAAACCAAGCTGGCGATATCGTTTTTTTTTTTGGTCTTTGATGGTGAAAGGGACCTTGGAGCCCATGTGGGATGCAGAAAAGCGTTCGACGATCGGCTGCTGGTCGCCTAAAAGCAACTGAACGCGCACTCTGATGCTCGAGCGCCGTGAGTGCTGGTCGCATGCCAAGAATAGCGCGATAGCAGTGTTTCACTTTAAGACCATGCACACCTTTCGTAATCTCGTGGAAGTCTGGACATGCCTTGCGTCAAATGCAGCACGCGAAAATAGAAGTCCTGAAAAACATGGCTCATCCGAAAGAAACTTGCTGAAAGTGAGCAGCTGCTGCAAACTTGGAGCAATTTGCCTGGGACTTGCCTTGGCAATGCCTTGGCAAGGCCATGCTCCAGCGGGTACCAGGGCCAAACGCTTCAGTCGGAAGGGCTCCAGAGCCCGAAGCCCCTTCCACATGGACTGAGGGACATGGGGAAATTAAACCCTTCTCCCAACAATAGCCCAGAACAAAACACACACGCCCCAGATATTCACCCCCTGTTGGCCAAACAACGTGGGGTCTCAAAATAGGGCCCGGAATGGCCCTGCGAAACCAACAAAATACCCCCGACAAAATTCCCCCAACAAATCAAAACCGCCAAGTGATTTTTTGCCCATGCTTGAGGTCGTCGGTCACGCTGGGTGCAGAGCGCGGCGTGGGTGTGTGCCTTGGGAGGCCGCACTGCGGCCGTTTGAACGGCTGCAGTGCTGAGGATCCTAATGGATGTTAGGACTTTAACTTTTTGCCAACTAATGGGTTTTCCATGAAACCACTAAAAGTGAAACTTTTAGCAGGGGAGCAGAAGGCAAGCGAGGTGTCTGAATTTCATCCATGGGTTCTTGCGAGCGATTGGCGGGTTTTAATGCGGCAAAGTTGCGGTTGTTTGCGCTGGACATATGTGAGCAGCCTAAAACTCCCCGGATTTTCGAGGAGAAGGAGTATTCAGTGTCAGGCTAGGTGAAGGGTTTGTGCCTGAAGCAGCCCAGGGCCAAGAAGCATTTTTTTTAACAACCTGCGCATGTTGAAACAAACATGCCAAGGACACTCCAGACGGCACGCAGAGACGGCTACAGCCAGGGCCCTGGCTGCTTTACATTCACTGCCACCTGCTGCTCATCTCTGAATGCGCATTTGGGAGCTCCATGTTGGCCGACAAGCATTGGATGGCAATTGCAGAGCTTTCCCGGCCTTCTGCTTGCCTTTCTTGCTTGAGTACCGGTCCAACATGCATGGCTTGCTACCCAGGTCGCTGCAGGCATCATTGGCAACAAGCCAGAGAAGCTTATGGATGATGTGCGCGTTTCGGGAGAGGTTTCGGTGCGGCATTGCCCATGCGCCAAATCGTGCCCAACCCCCATTTTTGCCAGGTACCGGCTGTGCGATGCCGGAACCTCGAATTGGTTTGTGCATTTTTTAGGGGGATGCCCTGGTTTCGCTTTGCAACCAAAACGACCCCACCCCTTCAAACACAAAAGCAAGAAGAGTCACACCCTTATTTCAATCGCTACCTGGGCCCCATGTGCAGGATAGCTGCAGCGTGCTTATCGGACTGATTCAACTTTCTTTACGGGCTGTGTGTTTGTTTATTGGAGGGCGCTGTTTCTTTTGGGTTTCAGTTGAAACCTGAGCCAAAAGGAACTGTCACAATTCTGGGGGTTCCTGGCAAGAACTTCCCTGGTGGCTCCGCGTGGTCCATGGCCTCCTTGCCAAATCAGGTCAACTTTTGCCGACCATTCAAGTAAATCGATCTTTGGCAGAGTAAACATGACATTCAGAATTGGGGATGGCGCTATACATGTTGCAATCGCATTGCATGCGAATTACAAAATAGATAGTTGCTTCCTTGAAAAAGCAGCCCAAAAGTCGTTAGAGCAAGTATCGGGGTTGGTCTTGGACACATGTTATGTGCCTGCTGGGTGCACTGATTGGTAGGGAGAGGGAATCATTTGGCAAGTGTCAAAACGAATCCTCACTCCATACTCCTATAATCTTACGCAACTAAACTAGAATTGGGCAAAGGGTTCCAAACAATGTCCATTTTACCACAAGTTGGGGACATTTTTGGCTGTACCCTCCCATTCTCTTCACGGAACCTTCTCTTCAAAAAAGGGGGCCAAACCCTTGAAAAATGGGTGGTTTCTAAAGAGAACAATGAAGAGAATGGAAAAGGAATCAAGCCTTTATAGCTAGAAACATCAAACCTTAGCTAGAATGGCTATAAGTTTTCGGCTAAGACACCTGTATAGCTCCTTTCCTCCCGTCCAGGCAAATGACTTTCCCCCTTCGGGGTCCGGGACCCCGGGCCCCTCGCAGAGTTCTCGAGCGGGGTGCGAGGTCCGCTCCGTGGCGAAGCCGCTGCCATGCCAGGATCGAGATGGACGGCTTGGCCTAGGAAATCGGAGGAAATCAGGGCAACCCATTCTTGCGTTTGCTTAAGAATATGTGTTGTTTTGTTTTTTTTGAATCCCGTTGTTGTTGTTTGTTGCATAAGAATGTGCTTTTCTTATCATTATTTGTTTAACTTGTTGGTTTTGAAGGGAATTATTCACTACTGGAAACACCTTGCTCATTTTGTCCAGTGGACTTAGGCAAACGAAAACCACTTGGGGCCTCGCTAGCTGAGGCCTTAGCTAGATGGTTCAACTAGCGAGGTCCACGGATCTCGTTGAGCATGCCTTTGCCGCTCCGGATTCTCAAAACAAACCATGAATCAACAATGCTTCGAACTCTCAGCCCTGGTTAGGTTCCCACGAAGGGTGAGCTTGCAGCTCTCGGCACCAGCCGTCCCAAATCCCTAGCCTGCCTCGAACCCTGCAGACTCAGTCTGAAGAAATGTCCTTTGGGGCCTTGCCAACAAAGGTTCTCCTTTGCTGTGTCCTTCCTGTTTGTTTTTGGCCGCGGCATCACTTAAATCTCAATCGAGTTTTGGCACGTTGTTGGAAACTTCGAGAACGAGGTTTTCTGAGAGCTTAATCTCGGTTCGGTAAAACATGTGGTGGCGTTTTGGGTGGGGGGGGGGGTTAGCAAATGGTATAGAAGGGTATATCATTTGGACAGCCTCCCAAATGTTGCATGAAAGTGCAGGGGTAAGCCAGAACACAGTATGTACAGCAATGGGCTGGCAATTGTCCAAGAGAGCAACCACCCCATAGGTACTCCTAGGTGCCCTTGGCATTTTGTGAGGATGGTTGTATTGCAATGACCATTTTAGGGTAGGTGCACCACCCAATTTTAGTCTGACCCAGGGGGACGTTTTTGCGTTTTGAGTCCGCCATGTAGGGCGCGCTGGCGGCGCTGATGCTATCCCAGCTTGGGCCCATCGTGCCCTAGCCGCGCTTGGTGCGGTACAGCGGGTGGCATCCGGGCCTCCAGTTCGCTTCGCTCCCTTGTTTCAGGGGGTCCCTCTCAAATGAACAGCAAAAGCTTTCAACACCTTCTTCCCCCGTTTTTATTTTGGGTGCATGTTTTAGACGGGTCGCTCTTGGGGTCGTTTTTTCAAGGAGGACCAACTACGTCCCCCAGCTTGCCAACTTATTCTAACCTCTCTACTGGAGGACCTAGCCAAAGGAGACCATTCGTTTTCAGTGCTCCGATTTTCCGATGCCGGCCAGGTGCTGGAGAATCGGCTGCACTTCCCGCAGGGTGCGCTGACCACCAGCATGCTCGGCAGGCCTGGTGGGCATGGGGCCCAAAGCGGGGGGGGGTCGGTGTGTTTGAGGCGGCCTATATTCTGTGTTTTTTTGTTTATGTGTTTTTTTTTTGGGGGGGAGGGTTGACTTAAAGGGAAACCAACAGAACACCGGGCAGCTGGAGGTTTTTGCATTTTGAGAAAGACGTATGATGCGAGGCTCTTGTGATGTTTCTTTGCACGCCCAAGTTGGTTTTTTCTAGATATGATGGTGCTGCGTGAGCAGTGGCGGCCTATAGGGACCTAGAGTGTTTTTTTGTTTTTAAACAACAAAAGCATTTGCCCCTGAGTGACTGGAACTTTAATAGATTTTGTTTTCAGGTCAACTAACTTGCACACTCTCTGGCCACCCAGGCACAGACGGGAAGCGATCGGGTCACTCAACAATGTCAGGCACCCCAACTCAGTCGCTCAGGCTCGGGTTGCACGAAGCTTTCTTTCGGCTTTCTAAAATGATTGGCGAGTGAGCTGCTCCGAGTGCCAGAAGATGAAAAATGATCACGCGTATTTCGCTTGGACGGGAATGTGCTAAATCACGCCTCTGAGGGCTTCAGAGTAAAGGTTTTTTTCTTGGGGATCCCTCAGTTCAGGTGGACATAAAGGTCGCGTCAGTGCTCAGAGGCCTTGAATTTCGTTCGTTCGTTTTGGACATATTGTAAAACAGAACTCAAAGGGTTGGGTTACACGAAAATCTACATGAAATGGCCCCAAAACACCCCAAAGCGGTTGTAGATTTTCCTGTAGTCCAACCCTCTGAAAAAACAAACCATGCACATCAATGAGCCCAAGCTCGCCCGCAGCTGGACGCCTGCCACGTGCCCCGCCAGGCCGAACCAAGACTTCAGCATGTGGGGCTGCTCAGGTTTTGACCAAGGGATGGGTTGACCAGGCAGATCCTTGCAGGGCCCAGGAGTTTGAGGGCCCCCAGCCCCAGAACATCAGTGAGGTACTGGTCACTCGGAGTTGAACCCAGGGCAGGGAAGCGAGGGGTGTCCAGAGTGTGCACCAACGGGCGGATTCGCAGGATGTGGCTGAAGATGGGGGTGTTTAGTGACTAAGACTTCTCGAAGGTCTCGGCAAAGGATGCCATGAAGCATTCTATTGGTTCATGCTGGAGGCTTGCGCTTCTTCCAATAATATTTAAGCGTCACTTGCCCTGCAGCTTCATTTGTTGAAGGGAGGTTGCACCCCTCCGAATGTCAAACACGGAAAAGGCCAAATGTCAAAGAGAAGCTTCCAGCGTTGTTGATGCGACAGGAACTGTACCCCGCACCCCTGCAGATGTACATGGAGCTCAAAAATGGCGCCTTTTCCTCCAAGTATTTTCGAGGGAAGATGGCTTGCTGACTTTTTGCTGGTCGTTCGCCTGGAAAAGAGGTTCCTGGAACGGATTTGTTGGTCCATTTGCGCCTGCGCCACTGGAGGCCACAGGGCAGTGCTAGACCCCAAGGGTCCCAAGGCGCGAAGGGGCTGACGCGAGCAACGCTTCCATGGCCCGACTCATGGTGATTCAATTCTGCCGATTTTTGTCATTTTTGCGGAGCTGGGGGTTTCGAGCTCAAAGTCCGTGGCTTGTGTTGAGTGTTTTTCTTGTAGAATCCATTGTGGCGGCTTACGTTTGAGGGGAGATAAGTGATTCATGTTGCCTGTGCCTCTGCCGCCCTGCCTGCTTTATTGACAGCCATGTTCGAACATGAGCTCCGCGGGGCCTGCGAGAAACAGCCGCAACACAGTGAAGTGCAAGGGACATCTACCTTCTTGCTTAACATAATTGTAAGCAGACCACTTGAGTCCCAGGTGGTTATTGCGACTTAAGCATGGGCATGTGTCAAAATGCGGGAATCCTTCAATTTGGGTTTCCCTTCCAGCCATCCTTGAACAAGTCAGCCTCAAAGCCGCCGGAGCACCACGGGCCAGGAAGCTTTGCGGGTAGCACTGCCAGTGCGAGCAGTGATGAGTACAACCGCATCCTGGGGGACTTGGCGGCAGCCTCAAAACTCAAAACGCCGGGGAAGTAGAGGCCTCCGCTGTTTGGTTGTCTGGGCGGCTGACCTCGCAGAAACCAACTCTGGCCCCAAGCTGGGGAAATCAACCCGGGTTGATAAGATGGGAATGCTGGTTCTGGGTCCCATGCTGAGCGTGTGAAGTACTTACCCTCCGTTCCTGCAGGATGTTTGCTTGCTTATCCCGGGTTTGATAGTTGGACCTTTCAGCCCACGTGGCGAGGACGAAAAAGAAACGCAGCGGCTGTCTCAGGACTCCACTTCCGTCAGCAACGATGGCAGCCTGGAGTCGGACTCGCGGAAGCCCTAGGCCCCTAGGTGCCATGATGAAACCACCGGTTCTCGGTGCCTTCACTTGAGTCACAATCAAAACTCCGGTAGTAGCAAGGGGCAATCCCAGCCATAGATGGTTGCGGCCGCCTTCTTAATTCTTTGGCTCTGGGTAGGCCATTTAAATGCCGACGTTTGATTATGACTCACTTGGGGTGAAGGAAGGGGTGGTCCACCTGGTGCACCATGGGAAGGATCCTGAACGATGATCATGACTCTCCTGTTGAGGGGGCCATGGTGACCATGACCCAATCGGCCACTTGTGGAACCGGTCAAAGTTGGTCAAAGCCATCCATTTGCCTCACGCAGCTTGCTGTCAGGCGTGAGGCGAGAGCTTGTGTGCTCAATGCCCGGATGCTTCGTTTGAGGTTGGCTTTACGATCTCCAACTCAATTCTTGCTCGGGCTTGCTCTCAGTTGTTTCTGTGGCACCCTTTTTTCTGTTTTGCTTTGGTAGGTTCCCCACTAAGCATGGTTAGTCCGAAAAAAGGGGGGGCTGTTCCTACGCGTGCGCCTTGACGCGCGGGCGCCAAGGCCCATTCGTGCGAAGGTCCCTTAGGGATTCCTTCCAATTCGATGCGCGGATATGATGACTCCTTGTTTGCCCACCAATCGTTTCGATGCAGTTCAAATGTCCATTCCGATTCCGTGCGAATTGGAATCGGAGGGCTTGCTCCTGGAATCTCACCCCTAGAGCTAAAGATTTTGGCGCATTTTGCCAAGGGATGTTAGGACTTTAACTTTTTTTTTCGAACTAATGGGTTTTCCATTAAACCACTAAAAGTTATTTTTTTAGCACGGGAGCAGAAAGCAACCGAGAAAAGGTGTCCCCCAACATGACCCGAATGGTCCCAAAGTTGCACTGGATGCCAAGAACATGGCATTTGCGACGTCCTAAGGCAAGCCAGTGGCACGGGGCGGATCCTGCAGCCGCTAGGAGCCCTATGGATCCCAATCGGTGGGAGACAGGTTGGCGGTTTGGAGTTGAGTTTTTGGATCTTGGAGAGACGCCACCCCTCCAAACCACCAAGCCAGACCCAAGAGGGAAGCAGATGATGGTTGGTTTCGATGGACGACTTGAAACTGAGGAAGGCACGCCCCGTCGAAGACAAAATCGCCAACGAGCGGTGAGGTGATGTACAACTGGCACACCATTTCAGAAATCGACTAGAAGACCCCTACCTTCAGCACCTTTCTTGTGTTCATCCCCTTTTCGCCATGTTTGTTACCGCCCGAAAAGTGTTGAACTTTGCGGGCCAGCTGGCTCAGGTCAGCCTCTTGGGGGTTTAGGGAAGCCTTGCCTTTGAGAATCGCCCACCCCACGTCAAGGAGGGGATCTTTTGACCAAATCGGAGTGCTGCATGTGTGGATATGTCGAACCGATGGGAGCAGGTCTTGATTGCTATTCGGCTGGATGTGTCTTTAACTTTTTCGGAAGTCAAGGGCTGTCCATTAATCCCACAACAAGCTAAGCTTTTTGCAGAGGCGTCAACGGCAACCAACAGGTGAGCAAGTGTAGGAGGTTGGCCGTGAAGCAATGATGGTGATGCGCCTTGGGTCCCCAAAAGCCTCCACGGATGAGTATTTAGTTGGCTGTTGCTAACAAACACGATCCGGATTCTCTCTCAAATGGGCTGAGCGGCTGCGCCCCCGCACAAAACGTTTGGTAGGGGCATCTTTGAAGCTGTGCATAGGTCGGATGATGGCCAGAGCTCCACTGGTTCAGGCACGTGTCTGATGCAGCCGTTCAGCAGACATGCGTTTCTAGATGGATAGATAGATAGATCGATATATATATATATATATATACATACCTGGAGCACCCTTCGTTACATAAATTTCTGCCCTTAGCCCAAACGTATTGCAAAACCAGGGGTCGTCACCAAAATATGGTAAACGTACACTTTTTCCTGCTTCGAGCGTTTTTCCCAAAACCGGGCTGGTCGGTCCTCCAAGATGATCGGTCGCTGAATATTCAAAAGGAGCGAGCAGAAATCAAAGTGCAAAACGAGCGCAAATATCCGCAAAACGAGCGCAAATATCCGCAAACGAGTGCAAATTTAAAAAACGTAACAATCCCGCCTTCCTCTGGATGGAAGAAGGGATTTGGTCGAGCGTTTTTCGGGGGGGCGAGCGTTTTTTGGAGGGTCGAGCAGAAATCGGTAATTCGAGCGTTTTTTTCTCGTACCTAAAAAAAAGGGCACGTTGGGTGCCTCAGGTATGTATATATATTTATATGTATAGATATTTTCTATATACATGTGTGTGTGTGTGTCGTTTTGGTTTCTGGGTTGGCTTCATCGGGGCCCTATGTTGACACAAACCCTTGTGTTTCGCTTATTGTAAGGGTGACATGAGCAGCAGGCTAAGACAGTGAAGGGCATACATCCCCCTGTAAAGGATGTCCGCCACAGTGTGCCTACCTAAACTTTGTCACCCAAGCTTCCTTTGGTGTGGTGTCCCTCGGAGCTTCGAACGGCGCGAGCAGAAGAGAACCTGGCCTTTGGGCCAGAGTCCGATCCTGTTGGGCCCAACTGTTTGCATCGTTGATGTTTAAAAGTTCGCCTGGGTTGAGTCCGCCCAAGCTTCAGAAAGACTAGGTAACTTCAATTGGGGACCCAAGTCCCCTCCCCTCCCACCAATGGAGGGGTGTGAACCGTTAAGAATACTTTCCCTTTCTCGTTGGTCCGCCTTTCAAACAACAAAAAGCCCTTTCAAGAGCAGCACCCCCAGAGGAGATTAACAATTGAACATTCCAAGGCGATCTTCATATCTAAAAATGCCCCAACAAAAAAAGAAAAGCAACGAAAACACCCAGCCCCACCCCAAGGCGCACCCCTTTCGCCCCCCCCCCCCCAAACAAAAAAAACCAACAAAAAACAAAAGAAAACAGAAAAGAACAAAGTTTCCCCCACGGCAGGTCCTCCTTTGCGGGCGCTGGCTGACCTGGACATGGAGTCCGAGACCTCCAGTGTGGCCAGCGCCCGGGCCTTGGAGCTCGGCTGGGCTCGGGTGAGAATCAGGTGACATGGCGGGAACCAAGCTATCCCAACTGCAAGTTATCTTATCTACGTGGAAATGCTGGTTGTTTTTGTGGCCCTGTTCCTTGGGGCTATTCATCCTGGATTTCCGTTCCAGCATCACTGTCCGACCTTTAATTCGGTGAATGTGGGAGGACGTGACCTTCCGGGCTTGAGGGCAAGAACTGGGAGTCCAACCTGGCTGGCTTCAGAACCTCATCAGTAGCTCGCAATTTCGCAAGCACTGTGGATGGATAGATTCCTGCACCGGTGGGTTATTCCGGCATGGGGTTTGCCCACCCCCGCACGTGCGACATGGAATGGACGTGTTTTTGTTTATCCATCAGCAGTTTTCATGCCGGCCAGAGATCAACGCGAAACCTTCCGGCTGTGTCTCCCACTCGTCCCCAGGAAGCGCAGCTTTGCTTCAAAACCTCGGCTTTTTGTTCAGCATCCCCTTTTTGCTTGTCTTTTTGAGCTGAGTATGGCCTTGTCGTTCACCTTCTTTTTGGGGGGGGGTTCTTGTCTTTTTGGAATGAGTCGTGGCCTTGTCGTTCACTTTTTAAGTTGGGAAAACACAACTTGCCCCCTCACCAGCTCAAGTTCTGCAGGGTCTCAGAGTCTCAAGGTGCTCATTCGCACTCCCTGAGGGTTTGGACGTGGACGGGCCTCGCATCCTCGCGGCATCCGACACGTGCGCCCGGGGAACTGGGCAAAAATCGGCTGACAACTATGTCCAAACACGTGCGCTGGCCTCAAAATAGACGAACTTTTAGTTGATTTTTGGGGGAAACCAAAAGAACACCCAGGGGGGGTTGGTGGGCATACATCCGCACGTAGTCCCAAAGAATGCGCATACCGAATTAGCTGTCAAGGTTGCTATGCCTGCAAGGGACCATTTTGACTACAAACAGATACTATGCTTGCCATGGGGTTGAACCTACATTCAAGACACTTTTCTCGGACGTATTCCTATAGTTTTGCAGTAGGTAGAGTGCGGTTTTCCCAAGCTTTTGCTTGGCGCCGGGCCAGAAAAGGGATGATGTAAATTTATATTAAGAGTTTCCTAGCGCTTGAGTTCCCCACCATGCAGGGTGTCCTGTTTTCCGCCAGGGTCGCAACTGGCCAGAAGTCGGGTTTTTGCGAGCGCATGTTCATGGGCTCAGGCTTTGAAGGACTGGCCGTGGGTCAACACCAATGGGATCCCATTTTGGTTGGGATTGGTGAATTCACCACCCATTTTAGAATTTTAGTGGGGATTGGGGGTGGTACCATTTTGGGGGATTGGTGCACCACCCATTTTCGAACCTATTTTAGTGGTTGGATTGAATTGGATGTTCACGGGGGGCTGACCGATTTGGGTTTTGACCCATGGCCAAATCAACTCTGGCCCCAAGCTGGTGAAATCAACCGCCCGGGTTAGAAGCTATTTTAGTGGTTGGATTGGGGTACGATTTGGGTTTTTACTCATAGCCAATTGCCAGGTCAGACGGGGGTTCCAGCGATTCGGCCTCCTCTGCGGGAGGCGGTTCCTTTGTGGCGGCCTGAGGGGTTCTCGAGGGCAAACACGCGTGTTTTTTTTTGTTAAGGGTGCCCTTTTGGTGGTTATGTTAAAGGCAAACCAACAAAGTAGTTGATTTTCTTTCTTTTTGTTTGGTGTGTGTCAGTGTAAGGGTACCCTTTTGGCTGTTATGTTGAAGGGCAACCAGCAATAGGGCACCATGAAAGCAACAACAGGTACTCAAGCATTCCTTTTGGTTCCCCATCATCCCTGGAAGGAGATAGCGTGCGTTTTTTCGCTTGTTTGACTTTCGGCGGCAGCGGCTTTTGGTTCCCGATGTCCGCCCTGCACCCACCCTAAAACCAGAGCCACCCAAATCGAACCGAACACCGCAACCCTAAAAGCTACCGCCATAATTCCCCACCCTACTCGAAACTCGAAACTCGAAACCGAACCTAAGCTCATCCCCAACCCGCTTAATATCTCGTGCATCGATGGATCCACGTTTTTTGTTTTTGCTTGATGCCTCTCTCTCGGATCACCGACTCCGTGCACGCCATCAGCTTGTGTCGCGCTTGTCGCGCGCGCGTTTGTCGCGCGTGTGCCGTGCGAAGGCCCTGCCCCCCTCCTTGTGGCGCGGGCCTCGCAGCTGTCGCCAGCGGCCACGGCCTGGCCACAGGCAAACGGGGCCCAAAGAATCCGAAGCCGGAGGTCAGTGAGACGATGTTGCATGTGGTTCAATTACTGGCCGTTTAGCTCAAGATGCCGACCACCTTCCTGTCTCTTCCCTGCAAAAACCGCAGTGAGGCACACCAAACTTATCCAACTTGTGCAGATTTCTTTCTTGTCCTGTTTTTCTTTTTTGTAGTGGCCAGAATGCAAGTTTAAAGATTCAACACGCTGGGATTTGAAGCAGTAGGGTTTGCATCGAGGTCTGGGGTGACCTACTCAGCTGCTTCTTCAGCCTCCTCGGTCACAGAGGCAACTTGCAGCGTTGCAACTCCGATGAGGGTTGTGTTGGGAGGGTCGCCTTGTTCAAGAACACTTGCCGAGTTTTATTGGGGTATATTGGTGTGCTGTCTGTTGGTGTTAAATTCGATGTGGGCCCAATTAAAGTCAAGCTGCGACCACTTGACGTTGTCAGTTGAGAGCTTGAGCGAAGCTCGGTGCCAAGCCGGCCAGGACATGCTGACCCATCGGCGTCCACTCTTCGAGGGGTACGCGCATGCTTTACGACCCCTGCCGGAGCCCGAGGTTTCTAGGAGTGACATGAGGTGAAGGCTGCTGCAACCCTTGATTAGCTCCCATCCATGCCTATCAAATCACCAAACGTAGATGCATGCTGATTGATCATGACTGGACCTGAGGTTCATGACCAGGGGCGACATTACACACTTGCTGTCCAAGTTCCCGCAGCAGGCGCGGGGTTTTATGAGGGTCCAGTAGCTCTTGGGATGACTGTCATCAAGCCTCAAATGCGTTCAAGTGCCAAAGCCGGAAGAATGCCTTGAGATGTGTCTAATGCTCTAATGCCTGGCACTGATGCACACCAAAGCCGCCTGGGCCATGCTGCGAGGCCGACCATTCATACAACGATGATCCACACGAGAACAACACGAAAACAAACACGATTGTCTCAAGACGAAAGCGCAAAGTGAGACAAATGGCCACTTGAAGACCGTGTCGCTTTCCCCGCTTCCCTGGCAACGTCCATAGCATCAACACAGCTTGAACCTAGGGGAGTCGAACTGGGTTAGCTGAACACCGAAACTCTGCAAAGCGATAAGGAGCAATCAAAACGATCACCCGAGATAGTTCGAACACATAATTCCCTGCAACCAGACATTGTCGCTGAATGCTTCACTTGTTCGAGTGGCGTCCGGTAGGGCTTAATTGCGGATTAGGACCCCCCCCAAATTTCTAACAACCCAGAAAGGAGTCAAGCGGGGGTCCACCCGATATGAGCGATTTCTGCGGTACGCGGCCATCCCAACCAGACATAGTTGCGCCCTTACTTTTTTCGGGGTTCGGTAGGCCACTGTAGCTCGTTTTGCTCGTGAATAAAGCACATATCTGTCTGGGTCAAAAAATGGAACCCTGGTAAGTGGAAACATGGACCAAAACCTGCGGTCCGATTCCTGGTGGTTTAATTCTGACCCACACCCATTTGCACAATAGGAGTTCCCTTTCCCGTTCCCCCCTCTGGTGGCCATTGGATGGGCCCCGGCAGGTTCTACTTGGGGGCGCGGGCTGCGGCCGGCAGTTTGCGGCGCACCGCGTGTGGCCGGCGAAGGTTTGCCGAAACCCGCCGGAACTGCTGGATGCTTGCCCTAAGGCCGGCGTAAGCGGTTGGTTTCTGAGAAGATAGCCATCTCTCCCACGAACGTGGCATTTGCCAGGGTTCCTTTGAGAGAAATGCTGATCTTCCAGGTGCCCCTTCAGGTGCTACGTTTGTGGGAGGTCGTTGAACAGAATGGGACCCCAACTCCTCGAGCTCCCGGTGGGGCGCATTTTCAGCTTGGCTCGAGCCTGCAGCCTCAGCCATGAAGGCTGCCCTAGCTGCCGGGCTGAACAAAGTTAGGATCCCCTTGCAACGGGTGGTGCGACGGGAACTTTTTTCTGGACAGTTTCCTTGTGGTGGCACAGAACCTTTTGGAGAGGCCGGGTTGAACCAATTGGTACGAGGGAGCCGGCCGCCAGTCAGGTTGCTTTGCTATGCCCTGGTGTAGCTTTGGAGCCCTACCGGGGCCCCAAGCCGCCTTGGGCCTACGAGGCGGGCACGTACACGAGCACTCTGCGTGAAGAAGTTGAGCGTGCCTAAAGGTTAGGTACCCAGAAGGTTTCGTGGGGGGGCATTATTTTCGTTCGACGCGGAGCCATGCGAAGCCGCAGCCTCTTCACGTGGGCCACGCAAATCCATTCGCGAACTCGAGCACGCCCAACTCAGCAAGAAAGTCATGGATCATTGGTTCAGCTTGCATTTCGGAGAGATCCTCATGTCGCAGCTTTCGCGGCACAGGGCTATGACACCTTCCCTGCCTTCTACTTTGGTGCCAACGAGAGTGGCCTGGACTGGAGGGACGTAGAAGTCACAAGCAGCGCAGAAGTGGAGTCGGTTTCTTTGTAAGCTGGGCATGTCAGACACTTCGTGCAAGCAGCCAGCCGAACTTGCTGGTAGATGTTTCTGAGCCAGGGGACTAAAGTGCAATATTCGAAACTGAGGGCAAGCCAACCGTTCATTTGCAGCTTTCGGGCTATCATTGCCCGAAATGACTTGTTGGTGCCACGCTTTCGCCGGCTTGCAGCTTGTCAGCTTGTGCCGGGTCAGGAGAGCGCTGCCTGGCTACCGTTTGTGGCAAAGCATCAGATCGCTGGCTGGGGCTGGCAGCAAAATTATCGCTCTGTGGGCGCGGACAGGCCCGAAACCCAGCTTTCGACAAGCGGATGAAAGCGGATGCCGGCGTTTCTGCAAAATGGAGCCTCAAATAGGGGGGAAGGGGAGGCTCTTGTTGGTTTCTGTTCAAAACCCATCGCAAAATCCACTGGCGTTTTAGCTGAATCCCAGGCAGCAATACTTCCAGCAGGAGGCGGGCCAGCGGGCTCTGTGCTCTCCCAAAGATCGATGTGAACATGCGCCGCCGATGAGGCTTCCCTTCGCATGCTCCACACTTCACTGCTGATTGGTTAACGTTGGATCTTTAACCTTCAACTTGTTGGTTGAGCATGTGTGTGTGTGTATGTGTGTGCCCGTGTGTTTTCCCACCCCTTTGTACAAGGGGCAATAGCCACCTAGCAACAGTTGCAGTTTGGTTGAACCGCACCGGTAAATTGCGGCGTGAGGGGAGTCTAGTGACTGCGCATATGGACGGCTCGTGGAAATGCATCACGAATTTGATTTTGGCGGAGCCCATTGCCATGCCAAAATCAAATGCACAATTTGGATGTTGGAAGTTCTGCCCGCTTTCTCCGCGAACACTTTCGTGCTCTCGCAACGAGGGGCAACCCCCCTCTGATTCATTCGTGTTCTCATAGGTGAAACCTCCTGGTTGGCTTCCTGAGGCGAAAGATGTTCGTCACTCGCGCAGGTGTCCTTGGCGCAGATGGCCACGCGCATGGCTACGTACCTGGAGCTTACCAAGCAGAACCGCACCCAGGCGCGGGTTTTAACGAAGGGCTGATGAAACGTGAAAAGCGGCGGACCCCTCGAATTGGTAGTTGTCCCACACCCAGCAACCCCCTTCCCAAAGCAAAGAAAGGACAAGTAGAAAGCACAAGAAGAGAAGTTGTCCTTTGGAAAAGACACCCTAGCTAACCTCCCCCCCAAAAAAACAACAACAGCCAAAAACCAGTAGAAAGCACAAGACGAGAAGTAGCAAGCGCGCGAACCGCCGAGCCTACACAAAAAGTAGACCTCGAAACAGCGGCAATCTTCTCCACGAATTTGAAGTGTGTGAATGACTATTCTTGGAACAGCCTGTGTGATATGTGTGCACGGCTTCCTTGTGCATTTGAGGGGAGGGGGCAATTCAATCATTTCCTGGCCATGAAGTCTCCCTCAGGCCCTGTTCGTTTATCGGCATATGGAAGTGGCAGCTTCTTGGTTTGCACTCAAAGCTTGCCCAGACCGGAGTCCAAGCATGTCGTCGAATTCCGACCATGGCGTCGCAAAGGGAAGCAATGCTTGTTGTGGGTGTGTCTGTTTTGGGGTAACCCCCCTTTGGTTGGAGTGAAAGGGAAACTTAAATGGACATCAAAGATTTTGGTCGTTCCCCCATTTTAAGACATACCCTTGCGTTGCCACGCTGAGGAGTGGTATTTTATGACGTCCGCAGCTACGTACCATGACCCAGCAAACAAGGCCTCTTGACTTGCAGCATTGCTCATCAGGCAAAGGGCGCCGGGAGGCTGAGCAAGATACGCGTTTTCTCAGCATGGGGGGGCTTGCCGTTGAAGCAACTTGCAGCCATCGGAGCCACTGAATTTGGGTGGATCATAACGCCCTCACACAACCTCACCCCAAATGGTGGCTTATGTGGGGAATATTCCCCCAATCACCTTATTTCAGGTTGGTGAAATATTACATGAATGGCTTGCAAGGAGATGTTCTTGCAGGACAAGAATGGGAACATTTGCAACCTGGCAGCCTTAGATTTAACAAGTTTACGGCCCCTTGCAGAGCGAACTTCAACTATGTGCATTGCTTCAAGCCGCTGCTCTCTCTTCAACTGAACATTGCCCAGAAAGGGCCAGTCTGAGCAACCAAAGGGACACCGCCGCTTGCAGTGGGGGTCATCCGCTATGTGTGCTGGGCAGCCTCCGCGCCAAAGTATGCGTGCGAATGCGCAATCCTTTGTATCAATCCAAGCGGGGTGTTATTTTTGTCACTGCCCGACATGTTCAAAACAGTGCTTAAAGACAAGGGACCATCAAAAACAACAAGTCTACCAGCTGCGAACACCCCCCCCCCCCCCCGAAACCTCAGATCTGGACTCTGTTGTTTGCAGGCTGGGACACCTTCGACAACTCGGGGCCCTACTGGAACTTCAGCAGCCCCAAACTCAGCGAGTGGTTCCTCCGAGAGATCGCTTCAGAGCTTGCCCGGGAGAGCAGCATCCAGGCAGGGCTTGCTACCTGGGGTCTCCATGAGCCTTAAAAAATGGGGTCGTTCCCCAACATCATGGGGTCATCGCCCCATTTTTAGAGGGTCATGGATGCAGGCAGACACTCAGGGCGGCGCCCCACATCTTCCTACCTTTAGGGGCCCGCAGCTTCGAAGCCACTCCGTTCGCCCGACTGCCCGACTCAGACTCGCTTTTGGGCGCATTCATGAAGCATTTGGCCCGGTTCAGAAACTCATTCCCCCGCCGGGACTTAGCTCAAAACTTCGCCCGCTTCAGAGCGCCGGATTCCGAAACTACTGCCTTCGCCCAATTCAGCGACATTTTTTGCCCAATGCTCCTTTGCTCCAACTTCCGACTTTCCAATTTCCGATTTCCAGTTTCCGAATCCGTTTTCCGAGTTTCCGCATCGTTCCAGATTCCGAATCCGTATGCCCGAGTTATTTCCAAGTCAAATTGTGTTTTAGTTTTCGAATCCGACGATGGCTCTTCTGGGGCTTCCTGAGAATCTTCAGGGGGTAGCGGGTCAACGCGGTGAAATTCGCACGCTGAGGCAGTGTTCTTTGATGAGACCGATTGGCTCTATTGCGGGGACTCGGCAGGCCGCGGCTGCGCTTCAAAAGCGCTTTGTAGGGTATCAACTCCCTATCTAGGTCCCCCAGTAGTGCCCGTTTATCCTTTTTTGCCCTTATTCTAACCTTTCTACTGGAGGATCCAGCTATGAGAGGCTTGCATGAGCCCACGGTGTGGAACAAAGGGGCCGGCGCATCGGTCAAACCGACTTAGCTGACACTGCGACAAAGCTGACACCAGTCCACTTGACTCCCGAAACGCGGCAGCGACCGCGCCTCGGCTCATCGAGCTGGGAGCATGTTTCCTGTGAGGGTGCCCCGTTTGTCCCAGCTGGGGGTGGGATCCAAGGCGCATGGCTGTGGAAGAAAAGCAAGCTTTGGGCAATTTTTGTGAGTGGCCGCCAAGGACACAACCCTTTGGTCATAAAGTGGTCATAGGGATGAAGAATCCCACTTCGGCATGACTGCAAAGGGCCTTTTTTGCGTCCAGGCAACTGCAGCAGCGAGGTTCACAGGGGCGACACTGGGTGGCAACGGTTGGGCGGAGGAGTTGTTCAACCCCTCACCCCCCCATAGAAGGGGTACGGTACTCTAAAGCCATAGATTCTCTGCAAGTGGAGGGGCAGATTTACAAGTTCGGGGTGGCGAGGGGCCAGAAGAGCTTTCCAATGCGATGGAACCCCGTTCAAAAGAGGGGGTTGGTTGGAGAATCCGTTTGGAGAGGGCGTGGCGTGCAAGCTGCGATTATTCTTCAAGGCTGGCCATGCCCTCCGCCACTCAGCATTTGTTTTGTTCTGATTGAGACCGTGCCCTTGCCTGAAAACTGCAAGATCTGGCCTTTCTTGCGCCAGGGGTTGATCGACTCAAGGCATTCCCTCTGGCTTGCAGAGGGGATGACAAACATGGAAACGCGCACGTCACAACCCCTTTTGCACATGGCCGGTTTGATGCACACGTTCAGGACATTCTTTAGAAGGAGCTCACCCCTGAAAGGCCCATCGCATTCCCGTCCAGCTTGTGAATGGACTAAGAAACACCTGGATGAACACGGTCCCGTCCTACGGGGGTGGGGGAACCCCCCTATTCATCCGCAAGGTTAATTCAGTTGTTGTTGTTGCTGCCAGAAACATGGCACCGGACAGTGGGTTGAATTTTCAAGAGAAATTCATGGCTATTTTTTGACCTGGCGGAAAATCATCTTCCAGGTAATTTTTACAAGGGCTACGTTTATGAGAGGAAGGGAGTGCTCCTGTGGATTGACATGGAATCCCACAAAAAACCATTTGCAGAGGAATCTTCTATTGAGGGGGCCGCCTTTATTGAGCAAACAACTCCTTGGTTCCAGATTTGCAGTGCTTACCTGCAATTCGGCCTTTTATTAATGACACGACCTTTTCCGCAGGGGAAGCCACCACAAATCCCCAGTCTTTGGTAACGTTTGGGTGGATCACGTCCGACTTCCTCGGGATCGATTCCATCCTCGAGGATGAGGGCGCCGCCCAGTACCGCGCGAAGATTCAGTTGCTGCGGCAGGTGGCACTGAAGCTGAACGCGGCCAAGGTGTGGCCCATCTATTCCAGCCGCTTGGCATGGTTGTTGGGAAACAATTGTCATTTTTGCTTATTGTGGTTTAGTGGGAAACTCCCACTTAACTGCTAAAATGTAAATTTTGGCCCCCCTTCCAACGTCAACCAAGTTGGTCATGTGATGAGTCTTGAGGGGCCCGAAATGGTGGACATCATGTAGGTGAGAAACATGTCCAACTACGCAGTTCACTAAAGGGGGGGGGACGAAGGGTGTATCCACATCTGCTTTGTTTGCAGTCCCGCCTGCGCAAAAGGGCTCGTTTAATTACATGTGCAGCCATCAAGTTTTCACGGACCAAGGCTTGTCACGACCACCAAGGTGCAGGTAGGCTTACTCAGGAACATCCAATCAGGCTTCGATCCTTAAGGGCTTGAGCTTTGCTTCTCTCCGTTCGTCGGTGTGGCTGCTGGATACATAGATACCCGCTGCCATAGCGGATGGTGTGTACATTCCCCGAAGAGCCCTGGATCAACTGACAGACAAACAGGTCCCCAAGACTGGTCCATCACGGGTGCCTGGTGGGTTTCCTCCTGAGTTTCCCTTGGCCCCCCAAAGAAACGGGACTTTTGAAAGAGAGACGCTGAGACGGACATTGTGCGAGACGCTAGGCTTCGGCGGCTACTCCGACCTGCCTTACCGGAACTGCACGGTGCCCTTCGATGAGTAGCATGGCATGACATGAGCTCCATGTCTGGCGGCGTCTTGAGCTGCGGGTCTGTATCGAACTTGGACCCCGGAAATGGGGCCTAGTTCTTTGTTGCTTTCGAATGAAACGGGCACCCTTACAAAACACAATCCCATGTTGAAGCCCTACGCAGAGCAAGCAGTGGTTAATAGATGTTGGCCTGTCGGTTATGCTTTGTGCAAGTTCGCGTGATGTGGGCAACTTGTGCCAAGGTACTATACAGCATTGCGAGACGTCGGCTGGTTTCGCTTCTATGAGACGCTTGCATACATCAAGGTCCTTGTTATTTGCCCCTCCGAAGCCGACTTGGAACGTCACAGCCGTGCACTCCTGGCGTATGGTGCATTCCCTTGCTATAGTTTTAGGCTACCCGAACAAAACCGCAGAACGCTCCAGGTGTCCAGGAACCGGTTTGGCCCTTTGGACAATGGATCCACTGCTTGGGATGGTGGCCAAACACTAATTTTTGACAGAAACTAACAGTCAGAGACGCAAGATAACTTAGAACAAAGGACAGGACATGAAAAAGGAAAGGAAAGAAGCGCCTTCATCAACTGCCTTTTTCCCAGAAAAGGGTGGGGCCGTTTGCAGGGCCCCGCATCTTCGTGGCAGGGGTGCGACTGAGGTTTGGCATTGGCGCGAAGTCTGCGAGCCCAGCGGGGGACAGCCAGGCAGCTGAGACTCTTCTGTCAATTGCAGGTGTCGCGAACCGTACAAAGATTCCTCAGGAGATGGCCCTGTCAGATTTGGTTCTGTAGGAGGGGTTGTTTCGCAAGGGTTCCGTGATTGAGGCAATGGCCATGACCCGCATCAGTTTTGACTGTGTCTCACACGGCGGGTTGCTTCCTTAAATTCACAACATGAGTGTTTTTCCTCTATAGGTGCATTGTACTGGCACCAGTTTAACGAAAGATGCCCAACATGAGCCAAACTCTATCCATTGATCGGTATTCCTTGAGGGCCCGTGAGGGTGTGCAAGCTTCAAACTCTTTGTTGAGTTACATTTCCGAGCAACATATTTTCCCGCAATTGCCCGTAAAGCGTGTCCGTCGATCAGTTTTGCAATGTAAAGCGGAATTGCAAGTTGCGCCATTCAAAGTTTGAGTTCTGCAAGCTCGATTCTGCAAGCAGTCTTCCCCGGCTCCATGTAAACGATCGACCACATGTCACGGAAGGCAGTAGCACGAATCCCACCCAGAGGAGTTTGTACACATGGGTAGCGTTTGTTGCCCGCCCCCCCCCCCCCCCCACAGTGCTCACGTATAATTTGGGCAACTTACTCACAACCTGGAAGCACGGCCAGCACAAAACTTTCACTCGCTCAGCTCGTTTCACTCCTGCTTCCAGGTTCCTTGGATTGAAGCAGCTGTGTTGTGAGTGGTTGGCATCGGCTGGGGGATCAGCTTTTGGGGGTGGGTCAGGGATGCTTGAGAGGGAAGCAAGCAAAACACAACGAGAAAGGATCGCATGAGGACAAAAAGGGAGAAACAAAGCAACGAGAGAGAGAGAGAGAGGGATAGAGAGAGAGAGAGAGAGATAGATAGTGAGGGAGAGAGAGGGAGAGAGAGAGAGAGAGAGAGAGAGAGAGAGAGGGATAGAGAGAGAGAGGGATAGAGAGAGAGAGAGAGAGAGAGAGAGGGAGAGGGAGCGATAGTGAGAGACTTCCAGCACGCTTGCTGGTGTCCTGCAGGCGACCTTGGCACAGGCCTTGCGGGAGTCTCAGCTGGGCCTGCCCGTTCTGGTGCGCGCGCAGCCGTTGCTTGGGCTAAACTTTTGGGAGGGTCTTACCACTTTGCGATGTGCGATGGCCCAGGCAAACGGCGACAGATTGGCAGGCTATGCAAGAAGTAGGGTGAAACCTCAACAGCTCATCCATCGAGGCATCTCCTGTGAGGTTTTTCCCCTTGTGGGCCGCATGCCGATTTCTTGCTTGGGAGCCTTGGCCGTTTTCAAGGCGGCAGTGCTTCTTCCGAACAGATGCTGAGCCACGGGGCCCGGGATCTCAGCCAAGATCTTTCGAGGCACGGCGCGGGAAGCGGAAGCGACGCCATCACGCTGCCTTTGGCCATGTTCCTCTTGGCGCAGAACGACTACTGGCGGGGTGGAAGGGGGGGCAAGGGGGGGTCGTCTACGAGATTTTTGTCCTTTTCGGTGCTCAAACGTCGCCTTGTGGACCATTTAGTCCCCTGGGTGGTGTGGTGTTGAAAGGTGAGAAGCATAAGGTGCCACATATTGATATGTGGCTGGTTGGTTGAAAGCCCGCCCGGCCAGGTATCTTGGAATATCCACTGGTTGGGAGGACGCGAACTGGAGATGGTGGCCCGAGTACGTGCTTTGGCTTGCAACTTGTTCAACTCAGGCGCAGCCCCCAAATCATGTGCAACCAAAAACGTGATTGGATTGCCGAGAGAATGGCAAGTCGCCAGAAGCTTTGCCACATCCGCCTGTTTGCCCAGCGCCGGTGCAACGGCCAGCTCGCACGTTGGTTTCTTTGGGGTGGTTACGGTTCTGCCCGCGACTCAGGACCGCAGCTACGGGCGTCCGCTGGGCCTTGCACAGCTGAAGGAGGATGGCTGGCACCGAGAGTTCCAGCACTGCAGGGTCTTCGTGAGCTTCTTGGATTTTCATGTTACACTCCCTCAGACTAGCATGGAAGCTCCCAGAAGGCCTTGTGAATGGAACCAAGTCTTCCAAAGGGGTCCTTGGAGCTTCCATGTTAGCCTGGGGGAGGGTAGGAGCAGGCAGATCAGGCAGGTCCACGGGGAACCACATGTTGACCTAAATCCGCTACCTGATCGGACCTGATCAAACCTTACAACTTCAGACCGGGGCAAGGGGCGACTTCCGAGGCAAAGACCTGACCAGAGCGAACATCAGCTTCCATGCCCTGATGATTTGAATTCTAAAGCGGCTGCGGAGGCGAGCCTTTGGCCCATTTCAACGGCAGGTGCGCGAGGGGTGAGCCCAACAGTGGCACCTGGGCGCAAACATGGTGTAACGTGATCTCACTTGCGCAACCCTTTTCTTCTTTTTAGTCGTGGGCCCAAAAGGTGAACCTTGAAAATCATGGGTCCGATGCGCAACTGAGTAATATATTTTCAAGGGGTTGGCTGGAACGGCTGACTCAGGCAGCATGCCTTGTACATAGCTTGGCTGCTCCCGGTCGAGAGGCTGGCCCCGCTTTGGCCACGGGAGTTCGGCGTTTCCAAAAGGGGAACACCTAGACATGTCCAACAGGTTCCCTTTCAGCCCCCTGGCCAATCAATGTTTGGAGGTCAAGGATACGTCTTCCTCACGACCGTTCGCACCGGCGGAGTGCGTCGCGCTTTCTGCGGACAAGAAGAGCCGCGAAATGCGAAAAGCGTTCGCCAAATCTAACCTGCTAAGGAGAGCCCTTACCCGGTACCCCGCAGAAAGGTTCTAACAACCTGTCTCAGAAAGCCAGTGCTTGTTGCCAACTGTACATTTTACAGCTTGCCGTTTGCTGGTGACAACATCAGAGTCAGGGCTTAGCAAGTTGTTGTTCTCCGATTTGGCCAGTAAACTCAGCCGTGCCTGCAGTTGCAACGAGCTGCTCTTTGGTTTGGGAATGTGGGTTCTTCGAAGACAGATGGTAGGAGGGTCCCCCAGCAGTGTCCCTTTACCAACTTTTTTGGGGAGAAGTTTCCCCTACTAAAATAGACTGCAGAAAAAAGTTGGTACCCTTATTCTAACCTCACTGGAGGACCTAGCTGTTCTTCTTGCAATACGTGGGGCTCCAAATGATTTGCATGGCCCAATGGGTCGCCAGGAACTTTTGGAAGAGCTCTTCGGTGTCTCGGCTTAAGGGATGGCTGCTGATTGGCGCATGGCTGCAGAAAAGCAGATGGACGGTTCTACTTGTTGGCTGGGGCATGCGGGGTATGTTGATGCACTTCATTCGGCTTGAGGCGCCAGTGTTGGAAGTTGGATAAAGGGGTTCGCAGTGCAAAGTATGATGCAAGGAGCAGGGCTCCTTGCAGCATTTGGCACTGAGGAGGGCCAAGACGCGTATGAATGAACATAGTTGATAAACAAGTTGTGCCAAGCCATTTGCCCAGGATCGTTGGTGGTTTGGGCTCGGGCCCCAGATGTCGGCTTCCGACATCTCAGACTTGCACTGCGCAGCAGGAGGTCAAAGGCGTTTAAAGCCAGGAGTTCGGGGTGGTTTGGCCGTTCAGTGGCTTGAAGCAGGGGTCCCTATATTTCCCTTTTTGGCGATTTTAAACATCACCTTTTTGGCCTGTGAAAGGTGAGTGGGGGAAATTTAGGGAGCCCTGTTGAAGCAGGCACTCATCATTCCCATCATAACTGAGCCGTTCATCGCATTGGTCCGGGCTCAGGTGAAGCAACCCGAGCGTCGGGGAAGGAGTCTGAAGCCTGCAAGATCTTGACATAGTGAGCGGTGAACACGTCACAAGTCTGCAGGATCCGACTAGCCTTTGGCTCTACCTTCAGATATGCTGAGGACGGTCTGCACGTTGCTCTTTCTTTCTTTCTTTCTTTCTTTCTTTCTGTCTTTCTGTCTTTCTGTCTTTCTGTCTTTCTGTCTTTCTGTCTTTCTGTCTTTCTGTCTTTCTGTCTTTCTGTCTTTCTTGCTTTCTTTCTTTGTTGGCTTGTTTCTTTCTTTCTTTTTTCCCTTCTTTCTTTCTTTCTTTTTGTTCTCTCTCTCTCTCTCTCCCTCTTCTTTTTCTGGTCCATCTATCGGTGATTGACCTGGAAGGAGCCATACATGCTGGGCAGCCACGGCCCCAGAAATTGCACCAGACGCAAGCGTAGCACACCACTCAAAAGAGCGCCCTTCGAAGCCACTGGGCGTCAAACGCCCAACGCGTTGGCATTCGGAGAGAACTCTTTGAAGCCCTCTTGACTCACTTCCTGAGTTCATGAACTTTAAACTTTGTGGGAAGACCCGTTTAGTGGTAAATATAAAGTTTGAACTTTTTTGGGCCATCCACTCAGCAAGTGAGTTGATATTTCTTGAACACGAATTATCTCTGCTTGTGTTTTCGGGTGAGTCATTCAAGTGAGAGCCACGGACACAGGCAGACAGGGTAGAATCGAGGGAGCAAATCATAGCAACCAGGGGGATAGTGATGACCAAGTCAGCAAGATCCACACCGCACCACCAGAGACCAATGGAGATGCAACGGTCCCAGCCTACAGGTGGAAAAGACGCCTACAAGCCTCCCCCAGTTGGTAAGCAAGCCTTCAGCGTTTAGCAGGACAGGAAGACACACATTCCTTAAGCTCCAGAGTGAAGTGCCCCCACTCGAAGATCGGATTCGTGTTGTTGAGATTCGCGATTGTTTGCTTTCCCCAAGGTGTCATGACAACCCTGCAGTTTGTGGGCGACGGTGTCCAGCGCACAGGTCCCGCCCTCAGTGCGTCAACAGTGCGTCATCCCGTGCCCCGGTCACTTAAGACCTTGTAATGCCGACCCGGGCAAATAAACACAAGTAAACCCTGGGCTGAGTACCAGGATGTACCAGGGGTTCTCAATGAAAGGGGATCCTTCTCTTTCTTAGGGCGTGGGGGAGCAGCCGGAACGCCCTCCGCATATAAATCCACGGGATAATTTTTTCGTCAGGGTCGACCTGGAGGCTTGAAGAGGTCATCACTCGATGAAACGATTGGTTCCCAGGCTCCGCGTGCGCGTGCGCGACTGGAGCTGAGGCAATGAGGTGTGCCCTGTGGTGCCAGAAGAGAACGAAGAGGAGGAGTGGGCAGCGATGCTCGGCAGCAGGCGAAGTCTGAAGTCTCCGTGTGCTGTACAGCTGTTTCCGTGGTGTGGCTGCGTCTTAAAATGGGGGCTGCCTTAAAATAAGGTGACTCCCGAGATGGTTGTTTGTTGTTTGGTTTCTCTTTCCACCAACCCCAAAAAAGGTACCCACAAAAACGGACACACCCAAATAGGGACCTCCAAAGCAACGAGGAAGCCACTGGGCCGAATGCCCGCTTCGGCGCGCGTACGGCGCTGAGGTCCGAGTGCGCTGCCTCTCAGGCCAAGGATGTATCGCCTCAGCCCCAGCGAGCGAAAGGAGGCGGAGGGATTGGAGAATGAATGCCCTAGGCAGCCCAGTGGGTTGCTTCCTTGTTTCTTTTTGTTTTAACAAGGGTTCCCTTTTAAAATCAACCAACACAAAAATGGATTTAATTCATGCCTTGCCCTTTTCTTAGCGGGACGGCTGATTTTTGGCTTCGGCCGCGATATGGGCTCCCACTCCAATTTGCGAGGGGGGGGGGTCTTGAGCAATGTGGCGGAATTAACCAAAAAAGGGCGCCTTTTTTCCCGTGGCCACTGGGCATGTGAGAATACCCTAGGCAGCCCCCTGCGCCTCCTTGCGCCGAATGACTTGCGTACGCCAGTGACATCGAAGTTGGCTTGGGTGAAGTCTTATCAGCTTGCTTGGTGCCAGGGAACGGGGCATAAGTAGGATGGTTCATTTCAATCATTCACAGACTTCCTACTGAGAAGAGTGTCTTGCAGCGGGCCAAGTATCTACTGAGTTATTCGAGACACTGCGAAGGAAGCCGTGCATCTTAGGACTCCTGAGCAGGACGTTTTGGAGTTTGAGGAGGTCAACGTGCCTCTCACCGAGGCACTGGAGGGGCACGAGTTGTGGATATCTTTGGTTTGACAGGCTCAGCCATGTCAAAGGCGCATGCCAAAACCCAACTCGACTGGCTGCAAACAAAATGCTCGGATGCGCCAAATGTTCGACTCCGGCAAGATGTGGTTGTTTTTCAAGGTGTCCTTGTTTTTTCTCTTTCAAGCCCAAAAACAACTATTAGAAACTGCAAAAAATACATCATCTCAATACTTCATTATGATAGTGGCCCGCGCCTTTCTGGACCCCTTTCTTCTGGTGCTTAACCTGGATCTGGGTCCGTTGCTGGTTCAATGAACCACCCCCGATTCGACCCTCAAATGCAGCCACTCTCGGGAACCCAAACCTGTGTGTCGCACTTTGTTATGCTCCCGTTGGAGTATCTGCGTTCCAGATTTGCATGACCCAACAGACGTGAAGAATTCAAAGGTCCGAAATGATCAATGGGGCTGTCTTGTTTAGGCCCCCCCCCCCCGGCCACCCAAAACCTCCGTGTGGTGTCAGTTTACAACCAACAAATGGCACAAACATAATTTTAGGGGGATTCTAAGCATGTGCGGCCTGGGAGGTTTCCTCTAGGGAGCTCTTCTTGGCTGAGCTCCTGCAGAGTGACCAGCCACACCCCGAGCTTGTTGGTCACTGGTTTCACATTGTTTTCCTCCCGGATCGGTCAGAAGCTGAATTGTTGTTCTGTTTCATTTCCTTCTGAGAGGGACCGCCTTTTTCTTGCTGTGGGAAGCCAACGGAGGAAAAGACAGAAGGAACCGGAACAGCTGGGGAGAGAGCTTTGTTTTGTGGGGGTTGAAGAAAGGCGGAACACCATCTTTTCGCTTGTCCAACATTTTGAGAAGCCACAGGAGGTTCCGTTTGACTTCTTCGCCGGGCCAAGCACCCGGCGGAAACCTTTGGGTTTATGTTTTTACCTGTTCCCAGTTGCCCAGTGGTGCCCTTTTTTCCTTTTTATTGGTAAGGGCCCCCCTTTAAACTCAACCAACAATACAAGGGTGTCCTTTTCTTCCACTGGACATTTGACCGGAAGTCGTGCTCCACCCGCAACAGTTTAACCCAGCGAGACACCAGCTCGCTGGTTTCCGGCGCCTAGGTGTCAACTGCTTGCATCACTCTCGCAGGCAGGGGTTGGTTGAAGGCAAACCATGGCAAAGCCATGGGGCAATTAGCCTGGGCTGCGCATGCCGCGCCATGTCAATTTTACCCTTGGTTTTTGCCTTTTTGCTTCTTGGAACCTAGCGATCGCACATGCGGGTGACTGCACTTTGAGGCCGGGTTATCGAACATTGTTCCACAGCGGTATGACAGCAACAGTTGCCGCGCAGCGCACCAGCCACTGTTGCTGGTTCAATGGCCTTCTGGCTTCTGCTGTGCACTCCTGTGTGTGATGTTGCTGGCCCTCTTCTTTCCAGATCACATGTGCAAGATGACGGTGGCTGAACTAGCTACAACTTGTTGCAACCGCTTGGTTGGCTTCTCCGCGTTTCTTGTCTTCTTTTTCGGGGTCGCAAGCCCAAGGGCGCGGGTGCCATTCGCAGGTTCTGGGAAGCCAGCAGGAAAGTCACCCATTTTAGGGGTTACCCCCAGTTTGCCCACCAGTCCTGGCCTCCCGTTACCCCACCGCCCCGTTTCGACGGTTCGAGGAGTTTCCGGCCCCATGGGCCGAACCACAAGCCCAGGGCTCCCACTCGAAGTACGGGCACCGAGCTCTGCGGCGCCGGCGCCGCACCTTGAGACATGCCTTGGCCTTGGACTGGTAGCGAGAAGTCAAAGGGGCCCAGTTGCCCAGTGGTGCCCTTTTTTCCTTTTTTTTTGGTAAGGGTTCCCCTTCAAACTCAACCAACACAAAAAGGGTGCCCTTTTTCCCATGGCCACTGGGCATCTGAGGGGAGAATCACCCAAAAAAAAAGGCGCAGCGCAATGCATGGAAGCACAGCTGGCCTGGGCCCGCCCTGAGTGAGTGTGCAAAAGATGCATGTGCATGATTTTTGTCTATTCGTAGGGCGTCTGTATGTTGGGGTGCTATGGCATATGGACTCACATAGTTGTATTTTGAAAACATGAACTAAAGTAAGTGAAGAATAGACATAAACATGTCTCCCTTTGGCTTTCAGGTCAACGCAGGGACAGTTGGTACCCTCAAATACACCGAAGCGTTTTTAGAGTGTATGATATTGCTACCGTTGTGTATAGATAGTATGTCAGGAATGTGTGCTTGTCCTCAAGAGACTTGCAGGTTTCCTTCTGTAGCAGCTGCATTGAAGCTGTTAATGCCACGGGTATAGCGTTTGTGGCGGGCTGTTGCCTCAGTGGGGCCGAGTCGTGGCCAGAGCGAGCAGGTCAAAGAAGCGACGCAGCTTCTCCTCAGTGCTGCCAGCTCAGGGGGGGGGGGCAGAGCACGCCATGCTGCTAAATGAGCGGATTCCGAATCCCTGATGGGTTAGTTTTGAATCGGTTGTCCTTATGCCAGGTGGTTGTTTCAACTGGCTGTACTTGTGTCCCACTGCTACGGGCTAGGGCTTAGGAGAAGGAATCCCCCAGTTTGGCATTGCCAGGTTTCCACTCCTCTCAGGTGGCGTGCACTCTGATTGCTGTTGCTTGGAATTTTGGGCTGGGGTCGGGCTCCGATAGCCGACACAATTGCGGAGATTTCCTGCTGGCAGGGCGCTTTGCTGAGGTCTACTAATTCCCCTCACTACTGAGGAAGAGAAACGGAACGAAAGGACCCCCCTTCCCTGAAAAAGGATTCAATCGGAGTGCCTGTTGCGTGGCCTCCGGGTACCTGTCAGCAAAGGTCCCAAGCAGCGCGTGAGTTGCCGCGACCGCAAGCGTCAGCTTTCTTTCTGGCCGTGCAGGCCCCTGTCCAAACACATTGCTCCCACATCGCATTGATCAAAGATATAGGCTATACACAAACATATGCACGTATACTTCACGTGCATACATACATCTGTGACATACCCAGATTCAGGCCATCAAGCGCCCTGGGTTTAAGCAGAGCATAAGGCCTTTGAGTGCCGTTGGGTAGCGAATGTGGGAGTCACATTGTAGATAGTGTGCAGTGCCAAGTTGGCCAAGTTTGCATCAGGTAGCTTCGAAAGTTCCCGTCCTCATAGAGGCCGTTGAGGCTCTTGATGCAGTGACCTGGCTCTAGCGGAGCACTTGGCTTCGTATTTGGCGGATGGTTCAGTGGTTAGCTTGAAATGGAATGGCGATGGCGCATGTGGCACTGCAGGGTGTTTGCTTTTTCTGAGAAAGTTGAGGCAGCCAATGGCTCACGGCCAAAGCGAAGCTTGCCGGGTACAGGTGTGGCCGCTAGGCGTGTCAGTTGTAAGCTGTCTCGTACAGGGCGATGCATCTAAGGAAACACTGCACTCATAGGTGTGCCTTTTTCTGGTTTGGTAGAAGGCAGATGGCCTGGTTATTTCAGAATCCCAAAAGGACACCTATGACTGCAAGCGCGACAGACACTGGCATGTCCAGCATCAGAGTGATACCTTGTGGCATTATTGAGCGGTGTTCGGGGGCAGGGGAGAATTTGCAAGCTTGAGATGTATCACGTCCGCGTTTGTTTGGAGATGCTCCATGGCGGGCGAACGTGGCTGCCATTCGGGATAATTAGGGTGAGCCAAAGTTGGGGATTTCGTGGAGACTTGTTTACAAAGGGATTTACGCCCACTCAAGATTAACCGGATCCCAGTCAAGATTCATGTAGTCATTTGAAAGCTTGAGCTTGTTGCACTGACACGAAGTAAGCCACGCGGGCTTCGCAAGGTTTTGCCGTCATCCCTCTCAGATTCAGATGCTTCAGAACACCCTGGAAGCTACGCCATGAACCCGGGGCATGTGCGAATTTGCTGAATTTGATTGCTCTATGATTGCTCTTGCATTTGACACGGCTCCTTTCAGCTGACGTAAGGGAGCAGAGATCACACAGAGCCATAGAGCCCATTCGCGCCAGGGCAGCTTTGCAAGTTGGCAACGTATGCCGGAAGATCAATACCGGTACCCGCCAAAACGTCCAGGAGCAGTCACGGAACTACCCTCAGCCCCAAAAATGAGTCGCAGAATGCGTGCAGCCAGAAGCCAACAGCTGGGTCCAGCCTTTTCCCATTTTTCGCGATGGACGCTCTACGGGCTCCGGTGGATGCCATTCGCAGACGACTGCACAGAGGGCCGCAAGGCCGCATTTTGCACACATTGACGAAAAGCAGCTGACAGCCAGAGATCCCTAACCAGACGAAACAGATTCCACGTTTTGCCTGTGCATGGTGGACGCCCTTTTGGTTGGTATTCAACGGGACGCCAGAAGAAGCCTGAGTCCGACTTTGAGAAACTATAGGGCCGATGTGAGAACTAAAGACGGATCTTCTCAATGCCCCTGTGTCCAAGGATTGCCTTGCGGCGAGCAGTTCCCGCCAATGAGGCCGTTGCATGTATCGCTCTGGGCATCATGCTTGTGCGCCGAAATGACAGTGTGCACTGCAGCGCGTGGCTGACTCGGCTCAGTTTTGTTTCGTGTGATTGCGTGATCGTGTGTGTGTGTGTGTGTGTGTGTGTTGTGTTTTTGTGCCTGTGAGTTTGCATGTGTGCGTGTAATTATGCTTGGCCCACCTTGCATGTCTCACTCTGTCTCTCTCTCTCTCTCTCGCCCTCTCTGTGTCCTATTCAGTGTTTGTTTGTGCCTTTGTGCCTTTGTGTGTGTGTGTGTGTGTGTGTGTGTGTGTGTGTGGTGGCTCGTGTGCATGTTTGCGCGTGTGCTCTCGTGGTGTTGTTGGTGTGTCCAGGTCAATGTGGAGGCCATGAAGAGTTTCTGGTTGCTGGGCAGCAAGTGTTCCCCGACTTCCCCCCCCCCCCCGAAACTGGGCCTCAACGGTGGAGACAAGCCCTGCCTTTTGAGCATGCTACGTGAACCGGTTGCCAGGGATGTGCCTGAGGTCTTCTTTACCTCCGGAGGTGCGAATGGAGGTGCTTCGCTTCACTGACTCCGGGGTCGTGCAGCGAGTGCACGACTACATGATCAAGCTGCTGAAAGCGGATGCTGTGACAAAAGGGGCTGTCAAGCGGATGCGTGTCTGTTGGTGTCGGACTGGGAAGGCGCTTTTTCGGAGGCACCCTGCTTAGAGGTCACGGAGGCACCGTGTGACAGTCTGTTCAGCCGCGGAAGCGGGGCTTTTCTTTTTCGGCCTGAGTTGGCCGCGGTCCAGTGGGAGTGCGTAGTGAGACTTGCCTTTTGCTTGGGCCCCAAAGAAGGTGGCTAACTATTCCAGCTCGGCGTGAAATCACCCCACATTGGGCGGCAACAAAGGAAAGATGCGGCCAAGCTGACTGTCCAAGCCGGCACCTGCCTGATCCAAGGATATTTGGAGCCATATGAACGACGTCTCCACCGAGGGTGCTCCTTGACTGGGACTGGACATGGAGGAAAATCTTTCTGCAAGCTGCTGGCCTTGTGTGGCGTTTCCGGTTTTGGAACAAGGAAATGTTTCGTAAAGGCGGTCCTCAGCTTTTGCGGGCCGGAAGTTAGATCTTGACCTCATTCCTGCTTGCTTGTGTCGTGGGGGGGGGGGGTTGCAGTGTAACCGGTTTCGTTTGGCCGCAGTTGCCCGAAGTGTGTAGTCAAACCAACCCACGCGATGTGCCCGTCAAGTGGGTCCGCCTTGAGCTGACATCTCACGCTGAGATCTGTCTGTTTCACCTGAATTCCCTCAGCTAGGCAGTTGCCCAAGCGCATGAGGTGCTACTGCCCTCCTCGTTTTATAATTGGTAAGCGGGCAGCTTCTTGTTCCCAGCGATTTCCCCTTGTACAGGCAGAGCCCTCCAGGTCCTTTGTCGCTTCGCACGAACCTCAAGGTGACCAACCCAAAAGGGTTGAGACGTGGCTTCGTTCCTTTTGTTTGTTTAGGGAGAAATGGTCTATCCTTGCCACAGTAAACCGACATGGGCAATATATGACGTATAGACCCTTTAGTGACCGTATAGCACCAGCTTCCCTTTTTCTTAGCACCTTGATGCCTTGATGTCACCAATTTAGCTCCATGCGCCTCTTGCTGATTCTCGGTCAAGGTCGGGATGGTTTACAGGGTTTTTTTCACATGAAATTGTGTTTTACGGGCACTTTCTGTCAGGGAAACCCCCAAGTCATGACAATGAGATGTCCCACAATCCGTCACTTCCTGTCAAGGAATCCCCCCTCAGTCATGCCTATACGACGGCTTCCTGACACATTTCCCTTTGTAACACCCGTCCCTGGCCAACCCGGCGCCCACCCCGCCACCCCCAAACCCAACCCACAAAACATCCGCCGAGGCCCCGGCGCCCCGTCTGCAAGGCTTCGAGTTCGAAGCCCCGGCGGAGCGGGACTGCCTCGGGGCGCTGCGGGCCCCCGTCGCCCTCATGGCGCGGGCAACCCGGGCGATTCGCGGGCGCGGGCGATTCACGGGCGCTTTTTTTTTTTGCGCTTTTTTTTGCTGCTTCTGTATTTTTTTTTTTGCGGAGCTGTTCGTTTAACGCCTAACGCAGCGGGAGAACCGGGGTTCGGAAAAGAGCCCATTCGGGAGAAAAAAACGCAAAGGAAGAAGCGAAGAAGCGGATGATGTGTGATAAGGATGGAAGGTTGCGGCGCAGAGATCGCTATATGACAATCTGCTATAAAATGTCGCATGGCATTGCTGCATCTCGATTTGGGGTTGTTGTTTGTTGTTTGCTCACTACATCATGTGCCGAGCAGACGCCAGGCAACAGAGGAGTTTGCAGCAACTCGCTCGCAAAATAGTCAGATTCGGTCATTTGGGCGGTCACCTAATTGCATGTTCATGCTTTTGTGCCGCACAATTTGCTGCGCGAGGCGGACGAGAGTCTGTTCGAGACCATAGAGCGAGAGCATCTCGGAACAAGTCACTGCGAACCATGGGCGTGTTTCCTTCAAGGCCCGCATGAAGCAGCGCGCCATGTTGGTGTTAGCATCCTGGCGTCCAAATCGAGGGGCCGGAGTCATGCATGTCAACATGAACCGGCATGACCCTAGGGACATGCAAACCTCCCCAAGCATTACATTGCCGCAAGGCTGGTTCATCCATGTTCATGCCGTTTCTTCCAGGATTCCAAGGCCTTTTGCTTGGGTTCATGGGGCATTTTTTCTTCGCCAACTTCTCACACAGGGAGAGCTGAGGCCTTTTCGTGCCTCCGCAAGCCTCCATTAAAACAAGCTGCGTCCCAATGTCCAAGGCTGTGCGGCCGAACGGCTGACCCCAAGTTGGGACATACCCTGAGAAATGGCTACGCAAGAATGAATCCATAGACTCCTGAAACGAATCCTGACGAGTTATCAGTTTGGATGTGGCTTATGGCTTCATTTCGGGCTCGTCGCCTCAGGTTAGGGGGCGTGTTGCTCGGGAGACCCGCCTTGCAGCAGAAGGACTGGAGCACGGTGCGCCCTCGGGTTGCTCAATGCATGTGGGAAAGGGGTGCTAGGAGACGCCACGTCCGTGGCGAACCTTGAAAAATATGGAGAAGGAGTGATTTGGAGATGTTTTTGTGCGCAACTCCCACGATTCGGAGGGTCGGCGCAAAGTCTGCCACAGCAAATGAAATCACAGAGTGGAGCCTGCCCCCCGAGCAACGGCCAGACTGGAACTCTTTTCATCCTGGGAAGCTAATTTTCGTTTGTGGATCCTAGACCGTCGGGACT